ATAGATATTCCAAATAAACATTTATAAAAAATTCTTTTAAAAATTTATATTCTGAATACATGCTTATGTAATCATGAGTTTCTATAATAAATAATTCATAATTAAGCTAGCATATGATTATATAAGAAATTAAAAATTAAATATTTTTAGCTAGTTAACCTAAATTGATATACTTAGATAAAATAGTGGTCATTAGTTAGATTTTGTAACTGTCCGAAATTGATGTATTTTGTAAAAGTAACGGTTTTTGTATTTGGAAAGTTTGTATTATTTATTAGGTAAAGTTTATTAGGTTTTATTTATGAGGTAAAATTAAATGAAAGGCTAGCAATTATATATACTAGTATTCGATCCTGTGCATTTGCACAGATGTAAATGAAATATTATAAGTTATTTGTATGCATATAATATTAAAATTATAAGTTAGATAATGATATTATATTTTAAACATAGGGTATTATAAGTTATATTTATGCATATAATATTAAAATTATAAGTTAAATAAAGGTATTATATTTTAAAATTTGATCATTGGTTAAAATAAATAATACATAACGATTTGATTGTATATGAATCACTATATTGATTGCATAAAATAAAATAAATAATGTAGTTTTTGAAATTTTAAGGGACTATGACTAATTAATTAGCTAAAAACATTAAATTTATTATAACAATTGCTTATGCGATTTTAAGGAATTTTACTATGTCATTAAAAAATTAATTTATTTAAAAACTAATCGCTTAAGCAGATAAAGAAATATTATATTTATTTTATAATAAATTACTCGAACAAAAAGTTTTTACAATATAGTTTCTTATGTTTATGTAACTTTCACATATAATTTAGTGTAAAATATAATTATTAATTGTAATAATAACTATTATATGATACAATTTCCATAGCTGGTGAATTTATTTTGTATTCTTGTTAGTGTATTTGTCCATGTTGTACATGTGCTGCATTTTCCATTTTCATCATGATTAATTATTGTAGTGATATCATAAAAAACAATAGATATTCCAAATAAACATTTATAAAAATTTCTTTTAAAAATTTATATTCTGAATACATGCTTATGTAATCATGAGTTTCTATAATAAATAATTCATAATTAAGTTAGCATAGTAATGATTATATAAGAAATTAAAAAGTAAATATTTTTAGCTAATTAACCTAAATTGATATACTTAGATAAAATAGTGGTCATTAGTTTAGATTTTGTAACTGTCCAAAATTGATGTATTTTGTAAAAGTAACGGTTTTTGTATTTGGAAAATTTGTATTATTTATTAGGTAAAATTTATTAGGTTTTATATATGAGGTAAAATTAAATGAAAGGCTAGCAATTATATATATATATATATAGATATAGATTTAAAAATATACATCGATTTAAAAATATGTAAATAATAATATATACGTCTAAAACAATAAAAGTAAAATTAACAATTTTGATATATGATAAAGAAAAAAAATGTTGAACTTATAGCGTAGGTTGTGTAGAACTTTATCTGTCACAATGTTTCGATAGATGATATATTCTCGATCTTTTTAAGAAAACATAGATTCTATTTATTTTTATAATATAGGTTTATTTATTTTATCGTTTTTTTTTTTACCATCGTGCGTCATTTTAAAATTGCATGTTTCCTAAATATTAGGTAAAATATGTCGAACCGGGGCTCATCTGATTGTTTCAATTAAATTACCACAAAAAAATTGAATAAATAAAGTTGTGTGGTATTGAATCTCGTTCAAATTTGAATGTGTGATTTAATTGGTTATATTTGTTACCTTTAATTGTTTAGCTAATTTATTTATTTGTTTTTGCAATTTACTTTTAAAATATATTTATTCAACTAATTACTTCTGTTCTTATTTTCAGGAAATAAAGGTTTTTGGATTGAATCACATTGGTGGAATTTATGTTACATTTTGTAATATTTTTTAGGCATGGGATAATCAAAATTTATTATATGCGATTTATTTTAATTAAATTTTGAAAAAAGAAAAGAATAAAAAATTTAGATTAAAAAAACATTATTAAAAAAAAAATAGTAAGTGATTTTAAATTTGTAAATCAACTCAGTCGTAAAAAAACAAGTCAACCGTAATTGAATTAATTGAAAAAGATGAATTCCTGATTTTGTGCGATTTGAATCCCAAGTAATACCAAAAAGAATTTTAAATTGCAACAAATCATTATCACACACGTGAGACATGATCCAATTAAATTTTAAACAACATTTTCAAAACTGGTAAGTCAAAGGTTTGACCCAAATTTTTCAACTTTCTATTTTTAATATTTCCATCAACCTCTTTCAATATATATAGATTAATATTTTTTTTAAAACAATATTAAATAATATTGTAGAGAATATTTTGACCACTCCCTTTCGCACGATGTTATTTTTATGTTATTATCCCAAAAATAAACAAACAAACAGCAAATTCTGGTGCAAGCAAAGAGCTTCTGTAACTCGCATGCAGCAAAGATTATGAGAGAACCTTTTGAGTATTCCCATATTGCCCTCTCGTCATTTTCTCGTGGAATTTTAGGTTGTGCGCCAGTTGGATTACCACGGACTGGGTGTCATTCGCTAATGTCCTGTTTGGTGCACGCATTGTTATTTAATAATATAGTTTTGGTTTGATGACGAAGCAAAAGACCCCAACGGGGTAATATCTAAGGCCCCAACAGGGTAATGAGACAGGGGCCAACAGCCCAAACCAAAAACACGCCTAATAAACAACAGAAATAGAAACCTGAGAGGACACGCACGTGGCGGCCTAGAGAACTCCACAAAACGAAAAAAAAGAAAATGAAAAACAGAGCCACTGCACAATGCCTAGCCTGTATTCATTTCCCAAACAAAAACGAACAAACACATCGAACACAGACTCGAACAAACTACAACAAAACCAAAACACACAAACGCAACAAAACAAAACGAGCCCTTCAAAAGTAGCAGCACCGAACCGAACCAACGGAAACAAGGCGACTGTGAATCCCGTAGTCAGAGACACCGACCCCGAAACTGCCCAAACCACACGGTTGCCTAACGGTTTCGAATCCCTATCCCCGGAACAACACCAAGCCGACCCGCACCAGGACCATAGCACCAAATTGCCCCCGAAACAGACAAAGAAGGCCACGGCCCTAGTCCCAACGCCAGAGCGCCTGAAAGCAGCCCAAACCCATCTCACCGCCGCAGCTTCACCCGACCAACACCACTGGAATAAGGATGGTCTCGACGACCCCGTCAACCCGAAAACCGAGTACAAAGGGGAGATGAATTCAAACAGCAGCAACGCCCCAATTGCTGAGCAATTGAGTCGCGTCCCACCCCCAGAACCGCACCACGGCTCCACCACCGCCCGACAAAGAAGCCACCACCCTGAATTCGTGGATCGGCGCCGGAAACGACGGCGACCCTGGATTCGCGGGTAGGCCCAGCTCCAAGGGATACGGATGGCAGAGCGGAAAAAGAGGGGCAGGAGCCAGGCGGCCAAGGCCAGCTACCGCCGGCGAAGTTCTATGGCCACGATGGAAGGCAAACGGCGTTGAATCGGAAGAAACGAGGCCGGGGGAAAAATTGGGGCCAAGGGTTTTCTTTGGGGCGGAGCTTTTTGTAAATCCCCTGTATTATCCTTCGGTATACCGTTTAATTTTTCTATAGGTAGTAATTGATTGCTATTACTTAAACTAGTATTTGACTCTGTGCATTTGCACATATGTAAATAAAGTTAAATATTATAAGTTATATTTATGTATATAATATAAAAATTACGAGTTATATAATTATATTATATTTCAAACATATAGTATTATAAGTTATATTTATGTATATAATATTAAAATTATAAATTATATAATAGTATTATATTTTAAAATTTGATCATTGGTTAAAATAAATAGTACACACGATTTGATTGTATACGAATCACTATATTGATTGCATAAAATATAATAAATATATACTTTTTATAATTTTGAGTGATCATGACCAATTAATTAGCTGAAAAATATTACATTTATTATAACAATTGCTTATGTGATTTTAAGAAATTTTACTATGACATAAAAAAAATTAATTTATTAATAAACAACCGCTTCATCATATAAAAAAATATTGATTTTAGTGTAAAATATAATTTTATGTAACTTTCATATATTATTTAGTATAAAATATAATTACTAATTTTAATATTAACTATTATATTATTCAATAAAAAATATAATTATTAATCAATTAACATAAAATATAATGGTTTTTGTCTTAATTAACTCAAAAAAAATGTAATGAAATATTTTCTTATTAATGAGATTGAGTGTATTAATGCCACATAAATAAAATTTATTAGGTTTTATTAATGATTTGCCATATAGGTAAAATTTATTAGGTTTTATTTATTAGGTAAACTTTATTGCTTAGCTAGCAATTATATATATATAGATTGTGTACTAGTATTTTAAATAATTTTAATTCATCAACTTTAATAATGATTGCTATTATTTTGTTGTCAGCGTTTTTTTGTATATTTACTCATGGATATAATTATTAAAAATTAGCTTAGAATATTAGATGTGTTTTTTATTTTATAAACATCATATAATTTATTATAGGTATTTTTAAAAACAATATATACAATTTTAAGTGTTTTTAAAAATAAATAATGTGTTTTTAGAAAATTTGTATAGACAATTTAAAATGTTTTCTACATATTTCACAGTAATAACATGTATTTTAGTATTTTGATTTATCCATGTTAATGAGGATGAAAAATTTACACACTCTTCCATAATTTTTATGATGATGATAATATTATTTTATATTAATATATACGGACCTCAATATTAACGATGACGCGTAATTTTATTTTAAATTAATGTATATAAATACGTAATTCAATATTTAATATATATTGTGTGAAATAAACTTTTTTTTTTTTTCAAATTTTACACGATGGCACGTGCCACCTATTTGATAAACACCACGTCACTCCAAAATGATGACACAGCTAATCACTCACTGCCTCATCCCTTTCATCTATCTATTAAATCCTCTCATTCTCCTTTTCTCACACATTTCAATTTATCAGAAGAAAAATAAAACACACACATAGACTCAAGGTTTTACCTGCAAGCTCTTGGTTGACGTCAGCTTATCTCTATATCCATCGGGCAAACAATGGGAGAGGTCCGAATTAATTTCTCATCTTCCCACCATTTCAATTTTTTCTATTATTCTGTGCTGTAACGGAAGTTGAAATTTTGTTCTCATTTCAATTTCGTTTTTAAATAAATTTATTCATACGTTTTAGGTGGAAGAGAAGAAACCGGAGGAACCCAAGGGGAAGGAGAAGTCGGAGGAGGCCCCCAAGGCCGAGAAGCCGGCGGCGGACGGCGGGAAAAAGGAGGAGGAGAAGAAATCTGAGGAGCCCAAGGCGGAGGAGCAGGCGGCGCCGCCGCCGGAGATCGTCCTGAAGGTTTACATGCATTGCGAAGGCTGCGCTAGAAAAGTCCGCCGGTGTCTCAAGGGTTTTGAAGGTAATTAACTAAATCGGACCCTCAATTTTCCTTTTCCCCATCTTTTCTGGGCCCATCTCCTTTTCTTTTTTTTTTTTTTTTCNTTGTCTTTTAATTCAATTTCTTAAAAAAATAAATGGGATCTTTGTAGGTGTTGAGGATGTAATCACAGATTGCAAGTCTAGCAAAGTGATTGTGAAAGGGGAAAAGGCAGATCCGCTCAAGGTTTTGAATAGGGTTCAGAGGAAGAGCCACCGCCAGGTGGAGCTTATTTCTCCGATTCCAAAGCCTCCGGCGGAGGAGCCTAAGAAAACTGAAGATAAAGATGTGCCCAAAGTTGAAGAGAAAAAAGAGGAGGTATTTTTTTTCCCCCTGTTTTTCTATATTTCCTTATGAATTAGCTCCTATTACTGTTCTTGTTGTTTTTTGTTTTGGATATATGTGTTTTGAGTATGTATGCACAGAAACAACACACATAGAATTGATTCTTGAAGGGAGAATTTGTGATTAATATATGATATCTAGAAAACTGAAGTAGTCAAATTGAGTTAGCTCAATAGCTGCTGTGAAGAAAATAATCAGATTTGTCTTATGGTTGGTCAAAATAATGGAAATTAATTGGTTT